TTGGTGCAATGTGACCTGGACATGTTTTTTGTGAGATCCATACTGTTTATTAGCCTATAGAATATTTTGTTAACCTCTCAATCCTAAAACTACTCTCTCTCTCTCTATTAACTAACTGTGTATATAAAGTATCACTCATAGGACAGGATCCATCTGTGGGTCCCAAACTCTTTGGTCAGGCTCATGCAGGAAGGTGAGAAGGAGAAGGCAAAATCCACCATCAACCTTCATCTGTGTTGCCTTGAAAAAGGGAGGGCAATGCCTGCTTCCCTCTCTCGTTCGTCTTGGTACAGAGAGAGGCAGGGAAGCAGCAAGGAAAGAGGAATGGAGAGGCAAGACCAGATCTGGAAGAATACCTTTGCAATAGCAGATCTGAAAGTTTCAACTGCAGCTGAATACAAATGAGGACAGACTGTGTTGTAAAGGCAGGCGGCGGCTGAGTTTTTCTCCATGAGCACACACACGCTTCACCTCACCGTGCTGGGGTTTGGTTTTCAATAACAAGTGATTATTACACGGCTGCAAATAAATAAATAAATAAATGGACACGAAATATTGATTGGATTTTAAATTAGTTTATTATGTGAGCAGAAAGAGAGCGCAGAGTGGTATGAGACACTTGAAACTAGCACAGATGTGTTAGAAATCATTTTGCTGGGACGATGCTCAATTATACAGTTTAGCATCAATATGCAAAAATATTTTGGAATGAAAATTATTTTTAATAAACACCAGGTCCAAAATATCTGCATGTGGCTGTAAGCATTTATTCTGGCAATCAATTTATTCAATTACATCTGAATAATTTGGGCAGCGGATGCACATATAGTAATTAGCAGACATTTTAAAGGGGTCATATGATGCGATTAAAATTTTTCCTTTTTCTTTGGAGTGTTACAAGCTCTTGGTGCATAAAGAAGATCTGTAAAGTTGCAAAGACTAAAGTCTCAAATCCAAAGATATAAGCCTGCCGGACGCTCCTTCGTCGAATCTCAGTCTAGGCCTCTGGCCTCTGCTCACTGAAGGCCGCGGTGTGTGACACTGTTTCGTTGTGAAAGCGAAACTACTCAGCATCATATGACCCCTTTAAAATAAAAGTGACTTGCAAGTTTACACTGATTATATAGTGTGGTTGATTGTATAAAAGTGTGTTAATATGTTATTATTTTAAATATGAATACATTTGAGGGTGTGTGAATTTGATGAAAGAAAATAAATGCATAACGCTGAAATGGCTGACACAAAACTCTTGTGAAAACCAAACAGTAGACTAATTTTTGTAGACTAATTGAGACATACGGTGCTGACGCTTTAATGAGGGTTCTTATGACTGCAATCAAAACATCCACATGAAATTTTATTTTAGTGCTGAAATGATTTTAATTAGGGAAATCAAGCTGTCCATAATTACAGGAGCAACAGAGGTCTCTCTCCTCCATGTCAGAAAGCCACAGGACGCTTGATGTACGTCAGGACTTCATTAGCACAGACATGAGGTGCCAAACACAATGAAAACAGTAAAACCCTGCTATTTATTTTCCCTCAAGAAACTTTTTAACAACCCCTCACACTCTCAACCGAAAACACCTCAACAACACCCGTCTTGAGCTCCGGCCAGTAATTTCCTTGTTGTAACCTTGTCAATAGCCAAAAATACATTGTATGGGTCAAAATTATTTTTCTTTTATGCCAAAAATCATTAGGATATTAAGTAAAGATCATGTTCCATGAAGATATTTTGTAAACTTCTCCTATCCTAACAAACCATACAGTACATCAATGCAAAGCTTATTTATTCAGCTTTCAGATTATGTATACATCTCAATTTCGAATAATTTACCCTTACCCTTCGTTTTGTGGTCCAGGGTCACATATTGTTATTTTAAATTTGATTATTTATAATTATTAATTATTATTAGTTTTGACAGTTCTGCAGCTGTTACCTGGATGGGATGAATTGTTATTATTTATTTATTTAATTAATTTGCTTAAATTACGGCTACATTTTTTTGTCCCATTTTTATCTAAATAATTTAGCATTTTTTAAGTTTTAAAATACCAAATTGTATATGACATTTTTGATTATTTATTATGTATATATTTATGATTAATATAAATTATACATTAATAAATAGGGTCTAACATAATTTATAAACTATTAATTAATCTTTCTAATAATGTCTAAAAAATATAATAATTATGTAGTATTTTTTTGACAGTTCTGCAGCTGGATGGAATTCATTTTTATTGTTATTTTATTTTCTTCATTTGCTTAAATTAAGGCTACATTATGATCTAATTATGTCTCATTTTTTAAATCTAAATAATTTAGCATTAAAAAAAAAAACTTTTTTAAATGCCAAATTGTATATGACATGATTATTTTTTATGTATATAGTTATGATAAATATAAATGATAAATTTATAAATAGGGTCTAACATGAATTCATCTGTCTAATAATGTCTAAAAATATAATAATTATGTCTACCAAGCACTGATAATGTCTGAATGTTATATTAACAGACTATCCAAATTTGAATAAAACAATAGGCCTATACACAGATGTGTCCGTCACTTTAAAGGAATGGGTTATCCAAAAATGAAAATTCTGTCATAATTTACCCAGGTTGTCCTAAAACCTGCATATAAAGTTCTTTCTTCTGTAGAACACAAAAGAAGATACTTTGAAGAATGTGGGTAACTAAACAGCTTCAGGTCCTCAGTAATTTTCATAGTAGAGAAAAAATACTATCAGACCAGAAACTGTTTTGTTACCCACATTCTTCAAATATTCCTCAACATAAGAAAGAAGTTATTACAGGTGTGGAACAACTTGTGGGCGTGTAAACGTTTCATTTTTGGGTGAACTGTCCCTTTAAGTCAGACAGTCCACCGTGAGCAGCTGAAATGCTTCTCTGCAAACTGCGCGTTCATCATTAGTTACAGGACAGACCCATTGATAACTTTCCCATTCAGCCCTACACCTGGAGCGCCTTGTGTTCAAAGGGCAGATGTGAGCTCTAGATGTTTTAATAACCAAGGGCTATTAGTATTATAAACAGTGCAACATACTTATTAGTTGATTAACTGTGTGTTGGCATTTGCAAATCGCGTCCCGTATTGATTTGATACGGGACACACCATTTTACCTTTAAATACGGGACGATTCCGGGTGGCAACCCTAACTACTACTACTACTACTAATAATAATAATTATTATTATTATCATTGTTATCCTCGCTGCTTCTGTTGTTCTTTGTCATAGACTGTAACGAGTTTTGTTGTTGAATTAAGTCAGGTCACAAACTATCGCGAGACACGTTGCTATAACGACAGATGTACACAGTTTCCACAAGCGGTAGTTCGGGAGACCGGTGTTGATGTAAGTACTTAAAAAAACTGTGACATTTTGATAAAGTATTGTTGATAAAGTATGTTTTAGCTCTGGAAAATAAACACAATTAGTTCATTTTAACAGCCTTCGCCTTTGTTTCTTATAATTATTCTAACTTAACGCCTAAATGTGCAGGAAGCAAGACTAATGAGAATATATTTGGCAGAATATATTTGACACCATACTTAGCATGGTTCTGAAACATGGTGGTATCATGATATTCTTTGACATATGTTTGAGTACCATGCAAATGCCATGGTATTTTATGTCAAATGTGTGCAATAACAAAATGGCACTACTATGGTGGTAACCTTATACAGTAGTACATTGGAGTAACTTACCATGAAAATACCATGGTATATACTTCAATATGCTAATCATTCAGTACCATGATCTTATAACATCACTGCTCCGTGTCTTTTTTTGTAAAACTTTGCTGCTGTTATTCATTTCATTGGCCTCTTTGTAGGTTAATTCATTGAAATTTGTCCTATTGTGTGCTGTGCGTTTCTCACTCAGAACTCTATTTTCTCAGGATACTTCAGTGGAAATTACAGCCTGTGAAGCTTTCAGTCTGATCAGAGAACACCATGAATTTAAACAACTTTGTGGTACTTCCCAGCAAGCCCAAGTCAATGAAGTTAAATGTCAGGTTTGAACAGTCTGTTCCCTTGAGTTTCTTTTCGCGCTTCAGAATTTTCACATTATTAGCACGTTACACGTCGCGTTTGCAAATGGTGGCGTGCCAAATGTTTAGAGTAGTCTATTCATTTTAGCAGAATAACATGATTTTGTGTATTGTGTTAAATGATTGCTATAAGCAGAGTGACACTAATAAAACAGGAAAAAGTCAGAGTCACAGTAAATATGTAGCATGTAAAAAGTATATTTATGTGTATTTTTTCCCCCAGGAATCTCCAGGAACTGCGTATGGAAACAGTGCAGCTGGATCAACATGCCAAGGAGATGGAGAGCAGACTGGAGGAGCTCAGACAGCGTATGAACCAGGAGAAAGAGGAGAGGGAGTGAGTAAAATAGGGAAGGGAGGGACAGCTTGTTGAGTTAATGAATGAGTGAGTAGATGGATAAATTAATGAGCCAAACAATGACTGTGACAGAGAGCGTTGAGATAAAAGAGGAAATGTAAACAATGAAACGGCAATGAATAAAATTAAAAACGTAGGAAGAGATAGCAAGTGAAAGAAAGAGAATGAGAGATTGTGAGGGTAGGTGTGGAGGCAAAGACAGAAGAATTTCAACAAATAATTCATCCAAAATTAATATTCTGTCCATGTTTTTTCACCCTTCCAAAACCTGTATGCAACCTGCATTTTTTCTTCAGTTTTCCCCCATACTATGACAGTTTAAAGTGGCTATGGCTGTCAAACTCCAAAAAATAACAACAAAAAAATCTCCATAAAAGTAGTCCATATCACACAAATCCTCAAATGCCATACATTTACATTAATTTATTTGGCAGACTTTTCTCCAAAGTGACTAACGTTGCATTGAAGGCCCTCCTTTCCAAGTTGTAACTCAAAAATAAGATGTAATTTTAAAGTTATACATATTTATTTTTAAATATGAACTTGAACAGCAAAAATCACATTGGATCTGCTATTTTCATTTCCTATTTGAATCACTTTTATACTTTGTAAACACTTTCATGTGACTTTGTAAATATACATTAATCTAACTTGACATTCGTCCTAGAAATGCCAATGCCAATCAAACCCAGTGCATATGTGCTTTTTCAAGGGTGTGGGTCACCTAAGTGCAGTGCCTTGCAGAAAGACACTGACATATAGTTAAAGGTCGCCAAAGACAACCTAAAGTTCTCAAAGACACCATCTGCATTAAGTTTCCGACTACTACACATCCATACAGTTCCGTTCTGTTCCTTAGAATTTCGCTTTTGTCTAATGAAAACGTGTGGGTTAGTAAAGGAATAGTTCACCCAAAAATGAAAATTTGCTGAAAAATATATTCACTCTCAGGCCAGATGTAGATATAGATGAGTTTGTTTCTTCATGGGAACAGATTTGAAGAAATGTAGCATTCCACCACTGTTCACAATGGGTCCACTGCAGTGAATGGGTGCCGAAAGCGAGACCAAGCAGCTGATAAAGAACATCACAATAATCCACAAGTAATTCACACATGACTCCAGGCCATCTATTAACATCTTGTTTTTAAGAAACAAATTCACCATTAAGACATTTTTACCTTCAAACCATTACTTCCAGCTAAAATACAAGTCCTTTATCCATGATATTGATTTTTCCAGTAAATAAATTAATCTAATCTGAATCAGGAGAGAAATATGCACAGATCAAGCATTGTTCATAAACAAAAAGGTCCAGAACAGTTCTAAACAAAGATGTCAGTGGATATTTATGTGAGAGGACAACAGGGGATGGGCTTTTTTTTTTTTTTTTACTTGAGGAAGCATTGTTGTGGATTATAAACTTGTATTTTGGCCAGAAGTGGTGGTTTAAAATTAAAATGCCTTTATGATGGATTTGTTTCTTACATACTTGCAGCTTTACACTTCACAAGACATTAAATGATGGACTGGAGTCGTGTGGATTACTTGTGGATTATTGTGATGTTTTTATCAGCTGTTTGGACTCTTATTCTGACGGCACCCATTCACTGCAGAGGGTCTATGTTGAGCAAGTGATGTAATGCTACATTTCTCCAAATCTGCTGAAGAAACAACCTCACGTTTTGGAGGGTGAGTCAGTTTTCAGCTAACTGTAATTTTTGGGTGAATAATTCTTTTAAGACCAGTCTCTGATATGGGTACATTTAAAACTTTGTGTGAACAACAGCCAACTTGTGGTGTGAACGTACCCTTTGACACTTCGGGTGATGTGAGAGGAAAAGGCATGCGAGTATATGTAGCCAAGGTAGAGAAGAAGTGGAAATGGAGTGACAGAGGTGCCATTAGCTTTAAAATCTGATCGTCACATGGAGTATGCAGCTCCTGCAGGTAATCTCAGGTGATGGTTTGACTCAGCACAGCCATCGAGTGGAAGGAAATTGAGTCATCTCGGCTCCAGCAGCTCCGCTCTCACTGCATCGCCATGCTTGTCTTCCCATTTCTCCCAAACAAATTAAGATTAAGTGGGACCGTATGCCAAAACAAGGAAGGCAGGAAATTAGTTTTCTGTCAAAATAAAAGAATAGGAAAAAATAACATCAGTAGTTATTAATTTGATGTCTCTCTCTCTTTCTCTTCCCGGCCTGGCGCCTTTCCTTCAGCTCTTCATTAATAACACTAAAATGTGACCTGTATAGGTCCACCTCATGAATTTATAGTGGCGGCCGTTTTAGGCTTACATATAAGCTCATAACTCAACAGGGGAGGGAAACACTACGGTAATGGGGTAGATGCAGCGAATACATCATATTCCCATATATACTTCCCAACAAATGCAAACATATACATGCAATCGGTCAGGATGAATTATGTTGAGATAGCATGAGGAATGAATTTATCTGTAATTTAACATATTTGTCCCTGGAAAGCGGATATATCAGTGAGGCGGAAAGCCAATCGGAGACAATAGCATGATGCTATTCCTGTGATTTCTTCATGGGGATGGACGGCACCAAATGCACCTGTATCAATAACATAAGGCAGCACTTTGCGATAATTAGATGAATGAATGTAGGGAGAATGCAGCTCTAGACAAGATGTCTGCGAGATCTGGGCTGCATACCGGAACTGTCATATTAAGGGATGTAAGCGGTACCATATCTAAATTGTGATTGCCTCCATACGGACGTTTTTAAATAAAACTGTTTTAGATTAGCTCCTTATCGGCGACCATTAATCAAAGCAGAACTTCTGTTGCGGGTGCCGTGCTGGGAATGGTTGATGTTATCTTCCTCAATGCTCAACCTGCTCGCTGTTTATTGTAGCGAAGGCAGAGGCCTAAAGGGCCACAGGTGAATTCATAAGAGTAGATGAGAGCCGATGGGCTCTGGCCTTATGCTCGGTGGGCGAATAAACTGTACTCACAAAGTGGAGCGCTGAAACAAACTTGTAGTTTCTTTGCATACTTTGTTGTTGCTTGTCCCTACAGAGCTGGACATCATACACTACAGTTTAAAAGTTTGGGGTCAATAATATTTGTTTTTAAGAAATGAATACTTTTATTCAGTAAGGACGCATTCAATTGGTAAAAAGTGACAGTAAAGAATTAAATATATATATATATTTATTTTTGACAAACAGTAAAGACTTTTATAATGTTAGAAAATATTTTGAATAAATGCTGTTCTTTTGAACTGATTTTCAAGGAGTTCTGAAAAGAATGAATCACAGTTTCTACAAAAATATTAAGCAGAACAGCTGTTTTCAATATTCATAATAAGAAGAAATCAGCAAATCAGAATTAGAATGATTTCTGAAGGAGCATGTGACACTGAAAATTCAGCTTTGCATCACAGGAATAAAATACAATTTAAAATATATTAAGACAGAAAACTATGGAAGCCCATTTCTGCCACAGAATTAATTAAAAAGGTAATTGCAACTTTTTATGTCATAATTCACACTTTTTCTTGCAATCCTTGCAGTTTATATCTCACAGTTCAGACTATTCTCTCAGAAACATAATCTCGGAATTGTGAGATATAAACTTGCAATTCTGAGAAAAAAGTCAGAATTCTAAGAATTTAGTTTACATCTTGCAATTCTGACTTTTTTTCTCTGAATTATAAGTTTACATCTCTCAAATCCATGACATGAAAAAAAATTCAATCACAATTATGTCTTTTTTCACAGAATTGTGAGTTTATAACTTGCAATTCTCCATTTATGTATTGCAGTTCAGAGTTATATCTTGGAATTCTGGATGAAATTTTTAATGATGAACAAAAAGTTTACAGCATTATGAGCTAAACAAGTTTTTTCTTTTTTTCATATTTGTATCTGGCCGAAACAAGCTTCCATAGAAAACATTTATTTTAAATTGTAAAAATATCCATAAATAGTTCAAGATGATGTTCAAAATGGGACTATTTTGCCAACATTTTGTGTATTTTATGTTTATTAAATGATGTTTAAATGGTAACTTATTAAATGATAATTTTTCCAAGTTCATTTATTGAGAATACTTGCACTTCCAGAGGCCGTTTTTATAATTCTGAAATCTGATTTAACACCAGATTAAATGTGCAGTAGTGTAACCTCTCACCTGTCCCACTGCTGCCACACGATGAACTCGAGTAGCAGAAGAGTCTGATGTCTGTGACCCTGACAGGAGATAAGTGTTTGTCTTGTTGGTTGGCACTCAGTGTGCGCGCGATGGTAATCCGCCAGTTGTTAGCACAACTGCCATGTTGCCTGCGCGTTTCCCCATAATGCTGACAGGCAGGCTTGAGCGCGGTTAATCCCCATCCCAAACGCCCGTCTTCATCAGACTGATAAAGGCCAGCACATAAACAGCCCTTAATGAGAGTGGACAGCATGCAGAGGAAGTGTCCTCTCTCCCTGCTGGCCCCTTCTAAAGTCTCTGACTTTCTCACTCTTTTATAATATGAGATTTTAGTGGAGCTGCTGAGCTGTGTATTACTTTTCTGAGTGATTAGATTTATAATTTTTGCCTTGCAGAAGATAACATTCTGTTAAATATATATGTATATATTTTGGTTAGATTTTTTGAAAGAAAATTTTTATATATTTGGATAGATTTTTTTAAAGAAAATAATAGTTTAAATCAGCAACAATGCATTAAAAGTGACAATAAACATATTGTTACAGAAAAATAATTTCGAATAAATGCTGTTCTTTTGAACTTTCTATTAATCGAAATCCTGAAAAAATGTATCATGGTTTCCACAAAAATATTCAAGAAATTTTAATAAATATTCAATGAATAAATAATTATTTTAAAGTCTAATAATATTTCACAATATTAATGTTTTACTGTATATTTAATAAAAAAAATGCAGCTTTTGTGAGTATAAAACACTTTAAAAACATTAAAAACTACCAACCAACCATGAACATTTGAACAAAATAATAAATAACTTTGCTATAGCACTCTAATTCTAGAATAATTTTCCGTTTTAAGTGTGGCTTAAATGTCTAGATACTTTTGGGGCCACTTTATAATTTTGGCTTGATTTACCCTAGCATTTAAATAACTTTCACTGTCGTGTCCCAGAGCAAGGCACTTAACCTTAAGATGGTTCCAAGGGGGCTGTCTCTAATTAGTATACGGTAAGTTGCTTTGACAAATTAGTAAATTAGTAACTAGTAAAAACTCAAATACGAGTGTGTACCCTGCTTCCTCTGAGCATGTGAACCTGTTTTTATGTGAACACAGAGCTGAAGCATTTCAGCGGTAAAATCACATGACCTGTCACCAACTACACATTCCTCTGGGATTTGGTATGATTTGGTCTCATTCCTGAAAATTTGTTTTTTTATTTTTTTTTAGAATTTTTCAGGCAGCCATTCAAACAGTTTTACAACCGACATAAGAGAAAGAGACATTTCAAGAGCACGGTTACCTCGTTACTTCTTGCGAAATTATATCGTTCAGGCAGACACACATAACATACATTTCCATCCTTTGAACACACTCAGGCTTGCGGCTCTATGCCAACATGACAGCCCACTCTAAACAAACGGCTTCCCCCGCAATCACGCCGTGAATTATTTAGACTGATGATTTGATGTGGCAACCAAAACAACAAATCAGAAAACAAATGAAGTCGACCTCCGTCTGTGTATCTGTGTGAATTATGTAGGGCAAAAGCTTTCATGTACTGTTTGTATTTGTTTTCCACTATTTGATATGCGCTTAATTAAAAGTTAACCATGAGTTATGCACTAGATTTTAATACTTAGGGTTAGTTTTTTTTTTTTTTTAAGTAATAGTACGTTCTCCAAATGATTCACAACACTGGCTACTACAACTAGTTGCAGTTTTGTGCTGAACTGAGCAACTTTCTGTGATATTTCCACGCAGGAAGATGGGAGCTTCTCACTGGAGTTCAGCACAGCCCGGGATTCAGAGCGTCAAGACGAACAAGGAGAGCGCACCTCACAGAGTAAGAGTTTTCTCACCAGACGACATCATTTCATGCTGATACACAAAAAAAAGTCAGTCAGTCTATCTGTTTAAAATATTCAGTCTCAATCAGGCCGACTTCTCCTCCTTTCATACCAGGGATGGTCCAAAACCTTGGACACACTTTTAGAATTAACTGCATGAACGGTTCACCATAATTTTGGTGATAATGTGATGTTTGAAATATGTTGTTTCGGGCAGCTCTCTCCGGGCAAGATGAAGATTAGAGTGCTGAAGGACGAGCCTGTGCCAGGTGGGTGGACTGGAATCTGAGATGTGTTTTGCCTGGCTTGTTTTGAACTCCTATTTTCCTCAAATTCAACACTAGTAAAGTATTTTTCTGTTAGAATTTCAGAATGGTGCAAGTCAAAATTTTCTTTAACTCTGTTCCAAACTCTAGTAAGCTAACTATCTATTTCTTGACTTAACACTTGTTAGATAGCATAATTAAGGCATCACATGTACTGTATCTGTCACAGAAAAAGTCATTTTCTTGATCATTATTTTTTTTAACTTATTTTCCAGTAAACATCCTCATAACAAGATAAATGTACTTGAGAAGCAACACACTGAGTAAGATAAGATTTGTTTTCAGAGAACATATATTGGATTATTATAATTTTTTTACCCCATTCGCAAATTGATCTTGTTTTAAACAGAAATTAGACAAACTAGAGAGAAATTTGTCCATTGATTTGTCCAAGAAAAAAACACAATTTGCTAGTGTGGTAAGAAAAATAACTCAATTTAAAATTAATTATCTGAAAATTAGCTCCATCTAATTAAAAAACTGGCTATTTTACCAAATATTTGTTTTTTAAGAACATTCATGCAGGGTTTTGTGCTCCCCAGATTTATGTGGCACATAATAAACACATGACAAAGTATTTGAACTAAACTACTGAACAGTAGTCTAGATATGCTCCCATATTAAGTCATTATCTTCTAACGCATGCTATGGACCAGCTCTGTTGGAATCTACTGTGACTGTTGAGTCTCACAGGTTGAGTACTATTTGTGTTATGCACATGATGAACAGTTAAAAGAGTCGCTGCCAATGGAGAACATTCCTAAAGGTACCGTCCTATGTAGGCAGTTGATGAGGTAGCTCACTAAATTGTGGAATAGAAATCATGTGTAGAGTTCTGAATTGTGTGTGTTTGTATAACTGCAGCAGAACAGAAGCAGGTAATTGCGGAACCAGCCGCCAAGGTACATGGCACTAACAGGAAGCTCAACCTGAGGGGAAAAGTCTGTGGACAGTGTGAAGTTCAACTGGCTGGACTGGTGAGTTTTCATCCGTTCTGTTATGTGAACAGAACTATTCTTAATTCCAAACTGTCCATCCCTTTCATTCATCATGCATCATGTCTCAGGTATACACTACCCCTAAAAAGAGGTTGGTATAATATTTCAGTGTTTTTGAAACTCTCTATTACTCATCAAGGTTGCATTTATTTGATCAAAAGCAGTAAAATTGTGAAAATTATTGCTATTTAAAATAACAGTGTTTTTATTTGTATGCATTTTAAAATTAAATGTATTCCTGTGACACAAAGCTGAATTTTCAGAATCATTACTTCAGTCTTCAGTGTCACAATCATTCTTATATGATGAATTGCTGCTCAAGAAACAATTCTTATTATCAACGTTGAAAACAATGTGGAAACCGTGAAACATTTTTGAATAGGAAGTTCAAAAGAATAGCATTTCTATCAACTCTCAGAAGATTTTAGCATGGTAATGGATATGACAGTGTTAATGTATTTGGTCTTGGCGGAAGAGATGTGCTACGCTGCTGCTAAATTGCTGCTAGTTATTGCTGTATTTGTAGATTATTGCTGCTGCAAGCAAGTACAGGAGCTTGCTACTGACAATGCATATGGTGATATAGTGCTGTGAGTATTTAAGACATACTGCTTCACAAATGTCATATAAAAAAACCCGTAGCGGATCTATACAGGTGGAGCTGGGGAAGGTGGAGGGTTTCAGAAGGAACCATGAAAGCGCATTGCAAAATGCTCAAGTGAATGCTAATCAGCCATTTAAATGTAAACATGAACCAATCAGCTTGTGCCAAGTTAACGCTGTGAATATCATCAGTTACGTTAAGAACCCATCAGCCTGCGCCATCTAGAGTTTCATGAAAGAACTTGTCTTTACTGTCACTTTTGTGATCAATTTATGCATTCTTGCTGAATAAAAGCATGAATTGCTTTTCAAAAACATGTTACTGAACCCTAACTTTTAAACTTTTTTTTGTATGCGTGTTTCTGGGGAAGCTAATCAGAGTATTTGCAGAAGTTTGCCAAGTTCAGGGTGCTTCAACTCTAAAAGACATGCAGTAGTTTTCTTTGAGCAACTTTGTAGCAAGTAAACAAGATAAACACAAGATATCCTATTATAGTGGTACCATGAACTTCATATAAACCCATCCCTAGGCAGACAAGCAGTTTTCTCAACCAGACTAAGCTGCAGTGTGAACCAGACTTCATACCGATAGTCAAAGTCTGGCTCTTCAAGACTAAAGTGCATGACACAAGGGTTTGTTATCCTCCATCAGTTTGAATAAAAGAGCTCTCTTAGCTCCTGACGGTAAGATCCCACTTTTTACTTTGAGCTATGACTGGCAGCAGTAGATTGAACTGCTGCTAAATGCAGTGCTGCAAATATATTCCTACTCATCCTATAGCAAAGAAGACATGAACTGCAGATTCTGTAGTCCGGAAGCCCTCTTAAAAATCAGTTTGGGAAGAATGCCACTGCTGTAATTTATTTCAGCGGTGTCGTGCTGAAATGAGACCTTTTTTTATGTGGCTATTAAAGGAGCCGGTAATGGGCTCAGCTGTAGATTCACAGAGCAGTACTGTATTTACCCTTTTCTTTATTCACCGTGAGTGTGTGTGTGTGTGTGTGTGTGTGTGTGTGTGCGTGTTTGTGTGGCCGTATTAAAGGGGACCCTGTCACTCTTAGGAGATTTGGGACTTTCATGTGCTGCTCGAGTGTGTGTGTGTGAGAGGGGACTTGAGTGCTTTGAGACAGACAGTCTCGAGGGGAAATGTACCTGTGGAATTTGCACATCGGCATTTGGCTGTCAAAGACAGCAAGTGTGTTAAAGCGAATGTTCGGTGTGCGTGTGTCTGTCTCGATGTATTTACGGATGTGTAGAGCCAAGGCTTCCTAAGGGTTTCCTCTGTGCTTACTCACACAACCCTAGAGGAAGCCACAGGAGCTAAAGTTGAGCTGAAAGCTGTTGTTTTGTTCAGGATAGAATGTACTGTACTGTTTACTGCAAAATGCCTAGTATACACTGGATACTGCCTACCACATACCACCTTTATGTTGTTTATCTTTGTCTGGCAGAAATATTATGAGTTGTATGCTAGAGTGTTTCCATCTATTTTAAGTTGCAAAGCTATTTCATACTATAGCCAGTGTTGTTTTAGTAGTAATATTTTGGATGAGCTTTCATTTTCATTTTTATATTTTCATTTTAATTTTAGAAGTAATTTTTCATCTGCATAGTTCTTTTTATCTTAATTTGTTTTTATTTAAGTTTTAGTCATTTTAGTACTTAGTTTTTCATCTAATATTTAGTTTTAATTTTGTGTGCTTTGTAATGTTGGGCCGATAGACGATGCCATTGTCCATCGCCGATGGCTGATAGACATCACGATGTTGATTAAGTTTTAGTAAAATCCACTAAATTTTAGTTTTAGTTAACAATAACAACACTGACTATAGCATTCTGCATTGTTGTTGTTTAATGTTTAATTTTGTGGAAAATAAGTCTTAAAGGGGTCATATGATGCGATTTCAAGTTGTCCTTTCTCTTTGGAGTGTTACAAGCTGTTCGTGAGTAGATAAGATCCCTGAAGTTGCAAAGACTAAAGTCTCAAAACCAAAGAGATATTTTTGATCAAAGTTAAGACTCTGCCACGCCCCCCTAAAACGGCTCGTTCTAACACGCCCCCACATATCTACCTCACTATGTGGAAATATTTGCATAATGCCGCCCAAATGTGCACGCAAAGAAAGAAGGCGTGGTTTCAGTAACCGCAGTTAGTGTTGAAGCAGCCATGTCAGGGAGACGCTGTGTGTTTCTGTGCGAAAGCAAAAGCACTTTATTTGGCCTTCCGAAAGTAGATGCATTTAGGAATCTTTAAGATTACTTACAACAGATGTTGCTGCCTTATGTTAAACTGCTTTAAATTACTTTTTTGTCTACATCAATCTACACTCCATACACCATAATGGCAAAGCAAAAACATAATCGTCACAACTTCGTAAATTTATTTAGATATTGCCTGACCCCTCTTCTCAAATAGCAACATGATTTGAGGTTTCATTCACGTTCAGGATGGATTACTGCTTTTTTAGGGATTTTCAATATGACGTGACATGTGGCCAAGTATGGTGACCCATACATAATTAGTGCTCTGCATTTATCCCATCCTAAGTGCACACACAGAGCAGTGAACACACACCCGGAGCAAAATGCATATGAGTTATACATGCTTGCCTTAGCCAATACTACAAATAAGCAGTATAATATTTTTTTTTTATTAATTTCTCTTTGTTCCCATTAAATTAATTGTGTGTATGTAAAAATAACTGTGCTCATTAAATTAACTCTTAGCTTTATGTGATTTTACTATTATAGTATCACTCTGAGCTACAGTCACTTAATTGGTAATGAAATGAAGGTTGACACTAATTACTCTACCTTCTGTGTACCTAACTACAGGTGCATCTCAATAAATTAGAATGTGGTGGAAAAGTTCATTTATTTCAGTATTTCAACTCAAATTGTGAAACTCGTGTATTAAATAAATTCAATGCACACAGACATTCTAATTTATTGAGATGCACCTGTATGTACAACTGTAATTCGTACATTTCTTCCAAGAAGAGAAAACCATATACAGTACAGTAATGTCTTTACCATCACTTTTGATCAATTCAATGCACCATTGCTGAATAAAAGTGTTCTTACCCTAAACTTTTCAAATCAACATATTAGAATGATTTCTGAAGGATCATGTGACACTGAAGACTGGAGTAATGATGCTGAAAATTCAGCATTGCATCACAGGAATACATTACATTTTAAAATATATCACAATAGAAAACAGTTATTTTGAATTCTAAAAATATTTCACAATGTTCCTGTTTTTACTGTATTTTTGGTCAAATAAATGCAGCCTTGGTGAGCAAAAGAGACTTCTTCCAAAAACATAAAAAAATTATTACAAACTTAACTATTGTGGGTTTCTGATATTTAGCTGTGCATTTATATAGTAAAATGCTTTTTTAATCTTTTAAGCCACATTTTAACTTGACCCTCAGGGTCATTCAGACTGCGTTGATTCAACTGGGAGAAATCAGCTCATTATGGTCTCCATCGCAAGCTAAGCGCTGACCCCAGGGCATACAGTGAGCATACCTCTCCAGGACCCCATGACCAAAAGCACTCCACATAGGCATACAAATATGTTTAGGCATCATCATGTGTGTGTCAGTGTTGATCGTAGTGTTTGAGGTGCTCCAATTATTGCATACTACAGGTATGCAGAGATTGGCTCTTCTTCTGAGAACATGACCTTGGGTGACCCACATACACCTTTCACATCTGTTCTCATGTTTACATCTCATCATGCAGCATTAGGCAGCACATGTGCACCACCAAACTTCCTTCTGCCCTGTGTGACGCTCACCCTGCACTGCCGCATGCAGAAAGCCATTAAAGTAGTTACACAAACACAAGCAAACAGATGTCCAGATGGAGGAGAAACAGAAGAACCCATAGGCTCTATTCATAAACCCAGTGAGTTTTCTTGCTGTCTAAAAGTATAGTTTCCAAAGAAAAAAAGAAAAGAAAATTCTGTCATTGTTTACTCACTACTCACCAAGTTATTCCAAACCTGTAAGAGTTTCTTTATTCTGTTGGAAAGATATTTTGAAGAATGTTGGTAACCAAACAGTTGAGGGTAGCCATTGACTTCCATAGTATTTTCTTCCCTACTATGGAAGTCAGTGGATACCAACAACTGATTGACTACCAACATTCTTCAAAATATCTTCTTTTGTGTTTAACAGAAGAAACTCATACAGGTTTGAAACAACGTGAGGGTGAGTAAATGATGACAAAAATTCATTTTTGGGTGAACTATCCCCATAATATTTTAGATTAGCATTTATTTTTTATTTTAAATGTATTTATTTTTTATTAAAAAATGTATTAATTTTTTTTAGCATTAGTTTTACTGATTTTAGTACTTCAGCTTGTTAAACTATAGGTTGAGGTTTTTCATTTAATTTGTATTTTTAAAGGGGTCATATGATGCAATTTCAAGTTTTCCTTTCTCTTTTTTTCAGCAACTACCAAAAATGATTTTAAATAGTTATCAATTACAACATTGTCTGCATAGGCATCTGTCTTCTAAGCATCTAAACCTAAATGAAACTGAAAAAAAAACTGAAGTAGTCTATTGATTCCAATAGAACTTGGTGTTGGTTAATCAAACGACATAATACTCTAATAAGAATAAATACATACCAACTTCAAACCATTTTTGCTTTCAGTGTGGACAGAAATAGCCTGTTGCTAGAAACTTGTGTCATGCCTGTTTAGGTCACAGTGAGGTAAAATGGTTTATTTTTATCGATGCTATAATATATAATATGCTATAACATCATAATGTTACTATAATTACTATAATATTAACTATAATAAGAGTTTCTTTTACTTCTCACCATATTGCTTTTATTTTTTCACTTTGCAATGCATCGCATCACAATGCACTCTGGAATTACTTAAGAATTATAGTGTGGCCAAAAACAAGGTCTCTTAGAAGTGTTTTTGGATCCGTCTTTTCATTGGGAGCTTGATTATGATGCCTTAAAATGCTGCCTAAGAAGGTGCACTGAGTGAAAGAGAGAGCAGTCACAAAATTGCGCTCTGCTTGAAGGGAGAGCGTGGTCTTGGCAAGCAACTGAGAATTGTATTTTACTATGCTCGGCTCTGATGCAGCTTTATGCATCCTAATCCTGTTTAATTTGCTTCCATGGGGGAAAAAGGGAACAAATATTGATATTTTTGTCCTCGGGTTAGTTCTTTACAATCTTGGTTTGTCTTCGTCTGTCTTTGACAAAGAAGCATTTCCCCATTTGCTTTCGATTCATTCTCTTTTATCTCTGTTTTCAAATTGCACACATTTCTTCTCCCTTTAATCGTTTCCTATTGCTTTCTATTGTCTGCAAATCGATATGCAGAGATAAACTAATTCTTTTGCTAATGTTTACTGTAGTTTGGGTGCATAATACAAATTTATTCACAAGACAGTCAAGGTCTTATCTGTGAGGTAAGAGAAAGCATCTTTCAGCAGCCATAATGGCCACTAACAATGTTATCTTAAGGACATAATGTCATAAAGAGGAAATATTCGACTGGTTATTGGGTGAATTATGTGATTTAATCAAGCTTTTCTTCATGGCTGTTATTCATTTGCACTTATTTATGGAGAGATTTGATAATGTTTGCAGTAATCAGTAATAAAAAGAGCAATTACCTGGTGTGAATATGATCAAATTAAAGAAACCCTGCCAATCTACATGTAAGTACTGGGTTTTCTGGATTTTAGGTTTCGCAATGTATTGTCCTTGTGTAGTATGACATATTTCATGGTTGCTACTTTCAAAACTAAAAAAGTACATTGTACATTTTTTTCAAAGTTGTAAATTAAGCAAATATTATTGGTGTATGTCATACAAGAAAATACTATTTCAGTTTTTCTGCTTTAAAATGTTATGTTTAATTCAATGTGTATCTTGACATTTCTTTGCAATTGTCAAATTGTTAGCAATTACTGAGTAAAAATTGCAAAAATCTACACCAATTTTTTTTTCCCAGTGTGTGTACAATGTCCTGTCCAACAGTGTTATTTTAGCGTTTTAAGTTTTTATTTTTATTTTTGAATTCATTTTTATTTCTGTATTTCCTGTTTTCATTTACATTTTTGTTAGTTTTAGTAATTTTGTTGTTTTTATCTTTGTTTTATATATATATATATATATGTATAGTTTTTTATTATATTTCAGTTTTAGTTTCAGTTGATAAACACGTTAACAGTTTAAAAGTTAAATTAAATAAAAATGTGCTGAAATAAAATAGTATTGTTTTTTTTAATTTTTTTATTATTATTATTTTATTTCAAGTAACAATTTTAATGGTTTCAGCTTTAGTTTTAACCTTGCTGCCTCATAGACTTGCCCCATTGTCAATGCATTACCATTTACATGATTGTTTCTTGTTTCTACGAACTGACAGATGAAAATTTCATTGGAACCAACAGCATGTCACAGATGCTGTCCGTAAAGCTTGTTTTGAACACAGGACATCCATTTAATGGTTTGGATGAATGCTTTACCTATAAAGAGTGTGCATTCATTCGGTTGCATCAGTACATTAGCCGAATCATTAACAGGATGCATTTGTGCACTTTGAATTAAAGGTCTGATTGAAATCTATGCTTCGTCCTCCAGGCAGAGCTCCAGACCCCTGTCAGCACTCGGGATGTGTTGGGCCGCCTCCAGCAGCAGGTAAGCAGCGAGGAGAATCAACATACACAAGGTGCATCCCACAAATCCGCTGATGAAAGTGAAGCCACAGAGAAAAGATCAGCTCCTAGGAGCCTTCAGCCCATGTCTGATAACCAAATGCACCACACACAGGTGAGTCACTGATTGTTTTGGGTGGTACAGTATAAGTCCTTATTATAAGGTGCATTACAAGACATAATTGAGGCATTAAAAGTACTTTTATAATGAGCGATATATAAAGTGTTACTTGTACCTAAATGTTGCCTCAAGCAATAGGCTTTTTTTCCACTTCCAGCACTTCACAGAGTTTTTATTTAATAAATTAAGAATTCAATGCAAACAAGATGATATATTGTGCGATAAAGAGCATTAGAAGAAGACAAATAGTATATGTGATAAAAAAACAATAACAACAACAACAGACATTATGAGTATGAGTTCAGTGTTTTTGACAGAAGTTTCTTTTGCTGACTAAAGCTGGATTTATTTGATCTAAAATAGAGTAAAATAGTGGGAAAATAAACTTTACTTGATGCTTTTATGTACAATGCTTTATAAAGGCATTCATATGCAGTATATTTTCATAAATAATTGTAACCAAAGTTAAAATATATTATATTTGCAGATTTGGTACATCTGAAATCGGTTGTTTGTAATGTGTTTAAATGCATTACTTTTTCTGTGTAACAATGAATAGATAGATGAGGTCATAAAATGCATTATAAGGTGCATTACAAGGCATAATTAATGCATTAAAAATACTTTTATGATGCACTTTATGTGAAGACTTTAAGTGGTGTTACCATATAGTAAAATATAATAATAATTTAAAACAAAAGTTTTTAATGTGTTTTTATGTGCATTTATGTGATGCGCAGCTGAATTTTCAGCATCATTACTCCAGTCTTCAGAGTCACATGATCCTCCAGAAATCATTCTAATATGCTGATTTGCTGCTCAAGAAACATTTTCAATTATTATCAATGTTAAAAAACAATGTTGTGCAGTGGAAACCATGATAAATTTTTTTTTTCAGGATTCTTATCAGGATTTTTCAAAAGAACAGCATTTTTTAAAATATAAATCTTTGCAACATTGTAAATGTACAGGTGCATCTCAATAAATTAGAATGTCGTGGAAAAGTTCATTTATTTCAGTAATTCAACTCAAATTGTGAAACTCGTGTATTAAATAAATTCAATGCACACAGACTGAAGTAGTTTAAGTCTTTGGTTCTTTTAATTGTGATGATTTTGGCTCACATTTAACAAAAACCCACCAATTCACTATCTCAACAAATTAGAATACTTCATAAGACCAATAAGATTCCCTTTGAGCTAAATTGACCTGTTTCCCTTACAACTGCCACTTTTGATTAATTTAATGCATCCTTAACCTTACTCCAAGCTTTTAAATTTCTTTAACAAAATTAAGAGCAAAAGATGTGCATTAGGCGTCTGACTGATGTTTTACCAATGGATTTTATCATTCTTGTACTTCCACAGAGAATGATGGGAAATGTAGTTTTATTCCACACATTTGTCACCTCATAAACCTGCTAAATAAACATTTCTAGCCAGCTTTATCGCTGATTGATATCTCACAGCCAGTGGCCTGTCTCTTTCTTATTCTGTTTCTAGGTAGATTCAATTTTATTCGTCGAAAGACTTGAACACGAAACTGCTCGCAACTTTCTGTAGAGTGTGGAAACTTGGCCATGTGCTCCATTTAATTTCATCTCTTCCTCTCACTCTCTCTGTCACTCTCATTGTGTTCTCCGTGTCTCGCCTCAGGTGTTGTTCGTGAATGACGGTGTTGATGTGGAGGATGAGGAGGCTGCTGAGGAAGAGGACAGCTCTCTGCAGAGAGGAGGCTTTGATGAAGAGGAGTCAGCTAGGTCCTTCCAGGAGGCTCTGAAAGAGTGGAGAGAGAGAGGACAGAGGCCAGGTAACACACACACATAAGCGTCTGAGTGTGTTTGGATGTGCTACAGTCAAACCGCGGTAATAAAGTGACATGCTGTCAGGTTCGTGTGAGCTGCCACGTATATTCTCTGGCAGGCTGTCAGAACACACACAAACAGTATCTCATAAAGCACACTCATGTGTGGCATTGACTGAAATAACGCACGCCGCGAGTATGACAGGGCTGCTGATTGGTTGCCAGGTAACTACATATACGTATGCATGACAAACATGTGCTTGTTGATGCACGCACGCGCATGTGTGTGTTTCCAGGCGCTGCATGTGGTTTGCAGAAATGCCTCCGTGATTTGACAACATATGACTCAATGAGTTAGAGAAACTATACTCAGAAACTTGAATGATGATGCCAGGTCACAATAAATTCAATCTGTTAGGGATATTAGTCAAGAACAGCGGGATATTTGTTTGCTAAATGAGAGCAGACTTGAAGTTTCCATGCACTTGACTTCAGGATCTCCTTTAAGAGAATCACTGTACTCTGTTTGAAATCAAATACTAGCCTAGTGCATTCTAAACCTACTATGGTGTAGGAATAGTATATAATTTAGTGCACTTTATGCAGTGATAAATGTCACAGCCTCACCACATCAGGGGAACTTGCAGTTAATTAGTGGCAGATTCACATTAAAGCTCTTAGATTAATCAGATGTGAGCTTGATGCTAGACTTCATAAAAGGTAAAATGGCTGAGTAACTTAATTTTCTACTTTATTTGAAAGAAAATGCATTTATTTGATTATTATTTATATAGTATTGCAACACTTATGATCAGAAGCATATTAGTAAACCAGAGACAAGAAATGTCATGAGCTGGCTTTGATGTAACGGTCAGAATTAATACAATTCCTAGCTATCAATTCTCCCACATGATATTTGTAATCAAAATCTTTTTATTTCATAGGGACTTGCAATAAAGTGACTTGAGTGTCTCTGCAGCATGTCAATAGGAGCAATTTATTTTGATGCATTATGATGCACATCACACATCCAGTGTAGACAGGATGTCAAGTGAAATTTGATGATTTATTTATTTATTCATTTTTCACCCTCAATTTTTTATTAAAAAAAAAAAGCATTGAAACAAATGTTTTTGGATGCATTTAAAGGGATAGTTCACCCAAAAATGAAAATTCTGTCATTAAAGTACCCCTATTATGGGTTATGAAAGGTTCATATTTTGGTTTTGGGAGTCCCCAACAACAGGTTGACATGCATGCAAGGTCAAAAAAACACTTTCATTCTCTTATAACATGCATTTATTTTTTTATCTTATTTGCTCAACGACTCCCAAACGATTCGCTCAACTATTCATTTTTTCAAACCCCTGTTTTGCATGACGCTAATCTGCGGTGAATGGTCCAATTGGCGATTGGTCGATTTCATCATGCCTGTAATGCCTGATAAAGCAGCGTTTGTGAGTGCAGTGCTGCTTTGTGTACAGCGTTACTGGGGAAACCGCTATTTTTACCGCTCCAGAAGCGGCACCTAGTGGCAAAGAATGAATTTGCATTTTCATTCAGGCCAACGCGAAAAGACTGCGAATGAACGCAAAGAGAGAAGTGGGCGGGCAATATGCTAATGTTTCATGATGACGTCATCATGAAACGGCTTGGGATTTGTTTTAAAAACGACTTGTTTCAATGATTCAGAGTTGACTCTTTATACACGGTGCACTTTCAGATTTAAAACTTTGCAGGATGTTTTCATTCACTTAGAGCTGTGTTACACACTGCATGAAAGGTAATTTTCAAAAATCCATAATAGGGGCACTTTAATTACTCACCCTCATGTCCTTCCAAAACCATAAGACCTTCGTTCATCTTTGGAACACAAATTAAGATATTTTTGAAGCATTCCGAGAGCTCTTTGACCCTCCCATAGACAGCAAGGATCCTTACACGATCAAGGCTCAGAAATGTAGCAAGGAGATCGGTAAAATAATCCATGTGACATCAGTGGTTCAACCGTAATTTTAAGAAGCTACAAGAATACTTTTTGTGCGCAAAGAAAACAAATTCAACTTTGACTTTATTCAACAATTCGTTTCCTCCACATCACCCTATAGCGCCATTTTGGAGAGCATCACATACGTAAACAACGTATGTACGCGGATACGTTGTTTACATTCAGATCAAAGCGTAAACAACGTAAACAGTGTATCCTCGTATGGTGCTGCTGACACAGAACAGCATACGTTGTTTATGTACTGTGTGTGATACTCTCCAAAATGGCGCTATAGGGTGACACGGAGGAGAAGAATTGTTGAATAAAGTCGTTATTTTTTTTTTCTTTGCACACAAAAAGTATTCTCATAGCTTAGTAACATTACAGTTTAACCACTGATGTCAGATGGACTATTTTACCGATCTCCTCGCTACGTTTCTGAACCTTGATCGTGTAAGGATCCTTGCTGTCTGTGGAGGGTCAGAAAGCTCTCGGAATGCATCAAAAATATCTTTAATTTGTGTTCCGAAGATGAACGGAGGTCTTACGGATTTGAAACGACATGAGGGTGAGTAATTAATGACAGAATCTTTATTTTTGGGTGAATTATCCCTTTAAGCAAGAGCTGTCTGTTTCTTTTTCTTTTCCCTTTTCATTTGAAATAATAATAATTGCATTTCATTTACATTTATATGCATTACATTCATAAATAAAGAGTATATTATAATAATAAGATAATAATATAATAATAAAAGAATATTTATTTTATTTAAATGCCACTTTTAGAATTTTATCCATTCATTAATTTGCGCAAAACTTGTGCCACAATGCTACCAATGCATTT